AGTAAAACGAAAAAATTTTGAATTTATTTAGCTACTAAGCAAATATGGTTGAATTATAAAATCGAATGGAAATAATGATAATATTAAAATATAAGTTCTTACCTATCTAATAATATAAAATTTATATGAAATTAATATGTAAGTTATCGAAATATACTTATTTAAAAATGAGGTATTTAATCGCAAAATTATTATTGGTCGGTCATTTTTGCTAGGTGAGTGTACAGAACACTTAATGTTAGGTATAAGAACAGAAATTTTTGGTTGTAAATCCAATCAATGCTTCAGATAAATAATTCAACATTAACCCTAAGTCTCAAAGGAGATACAAGTGATAAAATATTAACAGAATTTAGTTGTAAGTATACTTAAATTTGGAATCAGTAGTAATATATTTATTATTGTTAGCAGTTCTATTAAATACCTAAAGTTTGAAAAGAAAAATATTAATAAAAACAAAATTATTGATGATTTCCACCCCAAAAATATGATTTAAAATAACTTTAATTTACTACAACATATTTTTATTGAATTTATATAAAATTTAATTTGCATGATTATCCATTTTAGCAATCATATTAAAGCTCATATTAAGGAGGATTTATAATTAGGGTGATTGTATTATGGGTACAGCTTCTTTAAAATTAATATTAAGTTTGTAAAGCCAAATAAAAAATGCAGTAATGCTTAAACAAATATAGTAAATTGACCAAGAAAACATCCACTTTTTCGTTTTTTAAAAGTCTAGCAAAATTACTAATAGTCAAATATTGACATGTATTTTTATCATCACTAAGAAAATTTCTATTAGTATATTTATTTTATAATAATTTGGGTATCCTAAAGTAAGGATATTATAATAGGTTGCTTTTTCATCATAATTTTGATCACCTTATTATTATTATATTAAGTAATATTACCATTATTCTGATTTTAACTATAATAATTTTGATCTCTTACACTATTTAAATTATATATCTCATTATTTACTAATACAGTTGACATAAGTCTTGATTTACTTTCTTTCTTAACGTCCATTAGTTCTTCTGTTTTATGTGTATATTAGAGATTTTTAAATAGTAATTAACGCTGAGAATTTGATACATTATTAGTTGTTACCACTTGATCATGATTAAAAGGTGATAAATTTATTGAAGTAGCATCATCATAAGCACTTCTGATAAGATTAACACAAGGTGTTCTAATTGCGGTAAATAACAAAAAAAATAATAATTAATCAGATAATTTTCATAGTAAAATAAATGGTAGACAAGATACAGTACTTTTACCTTATAATTCTGTGAAAATTTCAGTATCTATCTTCATTAAATGTCTTTAATTTAATTCTAATACCTTTTGATTAGCTGAACTGATTAGATTCGTTAAACTTGATAGATTATCATAATATTAGTTTGATGAGAACTTTAATAATACTTGATTTATTAAATAATTAAATAATAGTTACACAACTTTAATATTTATTAAAAAGATAAATTTTTTCTAATTTAATTTCTCTTACCTTAAAAAATTGTATATTTCAAACAAATGTGATAATATATTTTTATTCTTTTATGAAGGAAAATGATTTAATTATAATAATTTTTTTGGTAAAGAAAAAATTTTAATAAAGGTTAATTGATAAAATAAGAGAATTTATTATAAAACATATATTGTAATTAGGTTTCTTATTTTGAACACTTGATGCAACTCATCAATTATAATTCGTTTGGTCAAGAATATTATTTGATTTTTAATATTTTGTTTATTAAGAACGAGAAAATATCGAATGTATTGAAATTATATAAAAAAATAAATTAAAACTGATATTAAATATATAATTATTTAAATTACTTACTGTTAGAAAACACCTACTAATACATGATTCTTTAGAATATTCTTTCATTATTATTGCTATTTATTTTGAAAATTATTTTGTGAAAAAACACATAAGTTTGAATAAAAAAAGTAGTCAATATATATATATAAATAATATATAAATACAAAATGTAAATTATACAAATTAAAGCCTATTGAAAATTTTTTTTCAGAGGTTTAAATTATTTATAGAGCAAAATATAGTTCATTATTATTTTTTAATAAAAACTTATATTGATTATTTGTTTAGTTTTTTTTTTTGTATTTTTGCATTTTAATAATTTCAATTCTCAATTTTCAAATTGTTTATATATGTCTCAGATTATAATTGACGCATCTCAGATTACAATTATCAGGTGAGATGCATGATTTGAATCAATGATCATCTGAGATACTGCAGCTATAATCTAGTAGTAATGCTTAAAATAGTACTTTAAATTCTAGCAAAATCTGAAATTTTTAAAAAATCCCTGGTAAAATTTTTTTATAACAGATTTTTTTTCCAAAAAATTTTTATAATTAATGGATTTCTGTCTGACAAATTTTTTCACATATCGGCATAAATAAATTATTATTTGACAAATTTGATAATCAAATTTTTTTCGATTGTTTGAGCAAAATGTCTATTAAACAATATTAAAAAAAATTCTAACAAAAATATGTTATAAATTCAGATTTAGAAGAAACTTATACCAATATAATAAAAAACTACAAAAAATTTAAATTTTAAAAAAAAAAAGACTCACCTCTTAATGAAAAAGAAGACTAAAAGTTTTCAAGAAAAATGATTAGAAATTTACAAATAGCTAATATATAATAGTTCAAAAAATCTAATGTTTTACTTATTATACAAAAGTCATAAAAAATTGAATAAATTTGAAAAAGAAAATAATATAATTTTATTTTATTATTTTATTTAATTTATAATTACATTAATAACTGAAAATAATTTAAATTAAATTTAAAAAATTTTAAAACTTTTGCTTTATCAAAATATACTTCAATAAAAGATCATACTGATGCAACAAATTTTAAGATATCAAGGGCAGAATTTATTAGAGTTTTAAATAATTCTATAGATAAGGCTCAAAATTATGTTAGTTTTTTAATGAAAATAATTTTTTGGCTAGCAAAAAATGATATTTCGTTAAACAAGTTATTTGAAGTTGTAAAACTTTGTAGAATTCTTGGATATTCTCAATTAATATTTGCATTTAGTATAATTAATTATGAAAATAATGTGTCTGGACATGAAATGTTATTTGCTATTTCAATTTCAATAGAGAAAACTATCTGAAAAAAATTAAATGAAGTTATTGCATTTGGTATTATGGTTGATAAAAGTACAGATATTTCATGTGAACCTCATCTTATTATATATATTAAATATTATTTATATAGAAAGATTAAAATCTGTTTTTTAAAATTATTTCAATTAAAAAGTAAAGATTTAAAAACTATTTTTGAAGCAATTATTGATTATTTGATAAAAAAATATTAAGTTAGTAATCTTAATATGTAGTTTATTTGTTTAATTAATTATATATTAATACAATTTTTTTTTAAAGGTTTAACAAATAAACTTATGTTATTTACTTCAGATGGAGTAAGTATTATGTTAGAAAAATCAACAGGAGTATTATCAAGAATTAAAGAAAAAAATGAGTGTTTATTTATAATATATTGTATTATATATAGGCTAGCTTTAGCTTGCAATTTAGCAGAAAAAAAGTGAATTTTTGTAAGCATGTTGAACATATTATAAAATCAGTTTATAATTTTTTTTCTAATTTTAGCAAAAGAGTAGATATTTTACACAAATATCAAGAAATATTAGAACATCCAATTTTGAAAATTAAACAAATTTATGAAGTCCGATGGCTTTCTTGGTATAAAGCAGTTAAAAATCTATGTTTTTCAATTGAGCCTTTAATAGATACATTATTGGAAACAATAACAATAACAACTAATAATCTTTAAAGATAAAGTTTTATTTCTTTATATATAGAGATCTGTAATTAGAAACTTCTTGCTTTTCTCTATTTTTTATAGGATATTCTTGAGTATCTTTCAACTTTAAGTAAGGTTTTTAATGAATATAAATTCAAATATTTGATATAGATCCAGTAATAGAATTAACTCTTAATAAAATTCAGCAGGAATTTTTGGATTTTAATAATGAAGGAAGATTATTATTAGGAGAAAATTTAAATAGATTTTTATCAAATGTAACATTGAGAGAAAATTGTAATATTTGTGCATATCAATTAACATGGGATGAACATTATGAAGCAGAATTAGTTGTTGATATTCAATTTTTTGCATCAGCTGTTGTTTCAGAAATTCAAGAAAGATTTCCTGATAGACCTTTACTTAATTCAATGAAAATACTTGATCATGCAAATTGACCAAATAGTAAAGAAGCATTTGCAAAAACTGGGGAAGAAGAGTTAAATATTTTATCAGAATTTTATAAAAAAAAAGTCAATAATTTTTGTGAAGAATGGTTTGGATATAAAGCAATAGTATATTCAAATTTTAAAAATATAAAAATTGAAGTATTGATTCCAAGATTATTTGAATTTTATTATGATACTTTTCCAAATATTATCAAATTATTAGGAATTATATATTCTATTCCATTTTCATCAATTGATTATGAGCATGGATTTTCAAAGCAAAATTTGATAAAAACTGATTTGCGAAATTCTTTAACATTACATTCTTGGATGATGGTTGGTTTAGAAGAAAAAGGTTTATCTGAATTTGATTTTACTAGAGCATTACAAAATTGGAATGGAACATGTAAAAGAAGAATTTAAATTTTTTTTAATAAAGAATATATAAATATTTTGTTTTACTTTTACTTAAAATATTTATTTAGCCGGTAAATTTTATAATATTCTGGAAAAATCCGATAAAATATTTTCATTCTGGATCTTTAGCCGGTAAAATATTTTTATCCCGGATCCTTAGCCGATAAAACTCAAATTCTATTTTAAGCACTGATTAGTAGTTGAAAATATGTACGAAGTTTATGCTGAACTCATGCTGAAGTTACATAACATAAAGGACAAAAACAAACTTGGAAATCAATTATAGAAAAATAGGGTTGGATAAAGCAAAATATTGTCGAAAAATTTGTTAATAATTGTGCAATATGTGCAATACGAAAACCATCATTTTATCCCTTAGCTGCAAAACCTATTATTGCAGGCGATTTTTTATCTCGTATTCAAGTAAATATCAATTTATAATAATTATTATTTGTTCTTTTAGAAAATTTAATTTTATATTATTTTTTTAATTTATTAATTTATTTATTTTTTTTAGATTGATCTTATTGATTTATCGTATGA